AAACAGTTGGAGTACTTTCAGACGAAGCTCTTCTTTTCACATGATAATATTCGTACGTGCCTCGTATTGCCTGCCCACCATTTCCTTAGGCTTAAACCTCCCTCCTCAATCTCCATCTCCACTGACCCCCTGCCAACCCCTCATCGTCCATTGCTGCTAAAGCTTGCCATTCCGTTTCATAATTGTAACTTGTAAGTAATTAATTCATAATCCATCAATTCCGTTGATACCACTCTGGTGTTCCTTTTGTATTTTTACTGTACGCTTTCAACGCTCACAAGAATTCCTTCTATTTTTGCGCCATCCTTTTCTCACATCTGCTTTTGGTAGTCGATTATGTACTGCTAAAAAAGTTTCCCTTTTCCTGGGGAAAATTTTCCCCCTGCAGTCTAGTCTGGTACTAATGATGAAGTCTTTCTTTACTGTCTCTCCCATATCGCCCGGTTGATACTTGATCCTACTTTAGTAGTACCAGCAGTAGTAAGTAGTATTAATTGTGCCACTTTGCTCTAATCAGCAACTTTAAAGAGACGAGATCTTTTTTAATTATCCATCCATGTGATTGTTCTGTTGTTTTCAACCAACTTTGTCTCCATTGTAATGGGCTATTACTACTGCAGGTAGTCCACCCGTTCCCAAGATGAAGATAGTACTACTACCTTTTCGGTTGCAGTGTGTTTACGGTGAACTGTAGTAGTTGCGTAAGCTTTTACAGGCGTCATGCTTTCTTCTCCTTTAGAGCAAGCAAGCATGCTTCTTCCCTTTTGACCTTTTTTTTTTCCTCTCTGAACCCTCGTTCTGGCCATCCCCTGCTTCCTTGCTGTTTCTGTCTACTTTCCGAATTCTCCCAGTCGTAATATTTTCCTTTCCGTTTTCAAGATTATTTCTTCTATTCATAGACCTTTTGTATCTATTCTGTTGGTTAATTAATCATCGTTATCTCTTCGATGGGGAATCCCTGCATGTAAAAGAGTTACTTAGTTCCAAAAGGTTAATCTTTTTCTTTGAAGGATATTCCTTAGAGGATCAGGCCCGTCGGGGCTTTTGTAGTTGAAAGTAAGAGATCTTTTCTGATCGGTCCTTTTTTTTTTTTTTTTCTGGGTTTGGATTTCCCAAGTCTTGCTTGCGCTCTATTTTTGTTGGAAAATTGAAGTTTTGCGAGAGTATTTTTCTCTTATCATTCATAATGCCTCCAACTTACCTACCGCTCCGGTGGGAGAGCACGGGGGACCAATGGTGGTATGCTTCTCCAATTGATTGGGCAGCGGCCAATGGACATTATGACTTGGTCCGAGAGCTTCTTCGTCTTGATGGCAATCACCTTATCACCCTTACTTCCCTTAGAAGAATTCGCCGTCTTGAGACCGTGTGGGATGACGAAAAGCAGTTTGATGATGTTGCCAGGTGCCGCTCCCTGGTTGCAAAGAAGCTGCTTGTTGAGTGTGAGAGCAAGAAAGGTAAAAATTCCCTCGTCCGAGCTGGATATGGTGGATGGCTTCTCTACACTGCTTCCTCAGCTGGTGACTTGGGATTTGTCCGAGAGTTGCTTGACAGAGACCCCCTTTTAGTCTTTGGAGAAGGGGAATATGGTGTCACGGATATACTGTATGCTGCTGCCAGGAGCAAGAATTCCGATGTTTTCAGGGTTCTTTTTGACTTTGCTGTCTCCCCAAGGTTTCCTTCTAGTAATGGCAGAGAGTTGGAGGAACCAATTGCGGAGATCCCTGCTGCTTATAAGTTTGAGATGCTGAATAGAGCTATTCACGCTGCTGCTAGAGGAGGGAACTTGACTGTATTGAAGGAGCTTCTTGGTGATTGCTCAGATGTATTATCTTACAGAGATATTCAAGGTGCCACAATCCTGCACGCTGCTGCTGGTAGAGGACAGGTTGAGGTGGGTATTGCATTATCCTGTGCTCATATGAATTTCAGTCTTCTGACGCATTATCTGGGTGATTTCGTTTTCAGGATATGCCTTGAGCCTATTTGTTGGCAATTGCGTTTTTTTTGTAGCTCACAAACTTCTTGCTTCCGTTGGCAATTGATGGGACTATTTGTGTTTCTTTCAACTCAATCATTTCTTCAGGTCCTAAATTATCTTTCTTGCACCAGACACCTTATGCACTACGAGAGCTTCGCAGCCATTTTTAACTCCTCCGACTTTTAAATTCCTTTTATTTTCAGTCAAAGAACATTTTCAGTGACTGATATAGGTCTTCTGGTTTTTCAAAAGACTCTAGTATTTTCTTTACAAATATGTTATGCCTACTTTTGTGGCTTTATCTTATGCTATCAAATCTGAAAATAAGTGACATGAATTAGTTCGTAGGACCCCATGTGATGCAATAGAAAATCCTTTACTTATGATTCTACTTAGGCCACCTTTCTTGGCATTTGCACTACAAACTCAGGTGGAGATGAGGCGTATCTACGTCGATGAAATGCTGTTTCAGACTTTATAGCAGGCAATGAGTAATGTCTTACAAGTTTCCCCAGTTGAAGTTTTCCTTGTAGGAAAATCTGAGCAATTGATTTTGCAACTCTAGCCGCTGCATTCTGAACCCTATCATCTTATAAGTTGTCAATCTGTTAGCTAGGGTGATTATGAACTCGTTAGTCAGAAAGTGGAGACTTTCTTTGAGTCCTCATCCTAAGCATTGAGCTTTTGAATCCAAGGAATAGGATGTGTCTAATTGTTTTGAAGTTATTCATTTCTACCATGACCCTGATACCATGATTTGGTTTGCCAGGATTCACGCGGTGTTGATCGATTGATGAATCAGTCCACCCAGAACCTAGTTCTCCTACATAGTGTGCGGTTAAATTTGTTATATGTAAAAGACTTAAAGCATTATGTTCATTCCCTCTTTTAAGATTTCAGTGTCTGTGTGAGTGTGCTTTGTTGTGTGTTTTAAATTTATGCTAGTTCACCCATGTACATGTCGTCCCATAATTTGAAATATAAGAAAAATGAAATGTTTACCCCTATTACCAATTTGCTTCCTAATAGTTATTACATGGGCAAGAAGTCAAAGATCTTTCATTACTACGTGATAGAGTGGTACTTTCTAAGGTTGTAAATGAGCCACATCTGACTGGAAACAACTGGGCTCAAGGTAAATTGGTAACACTATAGAATTTTCTTCCACCCACCTTCAGCAGTAATCTTAATTGTTCAGTTCAATACTAATTTTTCAGTTGTATTTTGAACTTATGGTACTCTATGATTAGTAAGTGACTAAAGTTAATGTCTTTATGAATGCAGGTAGTCAAAGATCTTATTGCTTCCTTTGATGTAATCAATTCTGTGGACAATCAGGGGAACACAGCATTGCATGTGGCTGCTTCCAGGGGCCAACTTGCTGTTGTGGAATCTTTAATTCTTGCTACACCCTCCTCCATCTATTCCAAAAATAATGCTGGAGAAACTTTTCTGCATGTTGCTGTTACTGGTTTCCAAACTCCAGGTTTTCGCAGATTGGATCGGCAGATTGAGCTTATGAAGCAACTTGTATGTGGAAGGATATTTGACATTGAAGAGATCATCAATGCTAAAAATAATGATGGGAGAACTGCTCTTCATCTTGCTATCATTGGAAACATTCATTCTGATCTAGTGGAATTACTTATGACTGCTCGCTTTATCAATGTCAATATTCGTGATATGGAAGGAATGACCCCTCTTGATATTCTGAGGCAACGGCCACATTCTGTGTCTTCTGATATACTGGCCAAACAGTTGATATCAGCAGGTGGAATCTTCAGTTGTCAGGACTACTCAACAAGAAAAGCAATTGCATCCCATTTAAGAATGCGAAGTATTGGAGGTAGTCCTGGAACTTCCTTCAGGACCTCTGACATGGAAATATTCCTTTATACCGGCATTGAGAATATTTCAGATGCAGGTGGTAGTGTAGGCCTGAGCCCTTGTTCGACCGAGACAAACCACCATGACTCGAGTCTGGAGACCTCTAGCACAACAAAAAGAAAGAAACTACACACTGTAAGCTATGCAGCACGAAGGCTAAAACAGCTGCTTCACTGGCCTAAGATGAAAGACAAAAGGGCAGATCGATGCAAAAAATCAGTGGGTGAACATTCTATATGCCCCTCAGAAGGACCTCCAATTCCTCTGCGGCAGAGGTTCTCCAGGCCTTCATCACTTCCGAACAACAAGCGAACTCTTTCGGTAAGGAGTAACCTTCCAAGTCCATCAGCAAAGAAGAAACTCGCTTCTGGTCTAGTGCATGGTGTGATGCAGGGAATTCCCAGTGTCAATGTATCTCGTCGATCACGGTCAAGTTCATTTTCGAAATCGTCATTCTCCTCGCATAGCTCTTTGGATAAACAAAAAGGTATACAAATTGAGAATGATATAGCAGGAGCTTCTTGCTCCAGACAGATCGGTGATGGTGATGGATCACCAAGTGCAGTTCCCAAACTAGGGCCAATCAATAAGAAGTTGATGAACCAGTTGTTATGTTTTGGTGGCCCAGGACAATCTGCAAAAGCTCCTACTTCCAGTGGACTACAGCCATACGAGATTTATGAACGTGCTGTTCTGTAAATGACTTGTAGACAAAGAGGTTATTGAATCCTGGTGATTTTTGTAGAGAACGCAGGGGTGGCCTAAATGTTTTGGGCGGGCAATTCTCGTAACTGGAAATTGGCTCACCATGACATGTTTTGCTTTATATGTAGAAGAATTTGGTCGATGAAGAAGTAGTTTCTCGCTGGTTTTAGGCCCTGATCCAGGAAAAAAAATAGTGTACATTCTTCTGTGCCTTTAAATGTATTCTGTTTGTTTTAAGAAGGTAATGTAAACATGCTTTGCTTGATTTGCTGATTCTGTTCATATAAGAGGCTCTGCGTGAAATTTATATGAACTGATTGTGAACACTGTACTTGTATGAGCAATTTTCCATATTATACCAATGCATCATACACTCCAAAAGGATCACAAGAAAATACTACATATGCACACACACACACACACACACTAAAAAAAAACCGCGGATGTATGTATTAACCAAACCAGCATGAATTTTTTTTACTCAAAAGAGCACTTCAATACATCTTTATACTTGCTTCTAGTATGAATTCGGAATTCCTATTCCGCCATGACTAGTGATGAGCCCACCACCCGTCGACTGCTTCCATGGCGAAGCTGACGCTCTTCTGAGTTCTGACTGCTTCCTTTTTACCTATATCACTACATCCTTCGCTGTAGGCAAGCTGCTCTGCCTCTACGAGTAGAATTTATAGGTCTTCGCTTCAAGTATGATCTGTCTTAGCCTCCAATTGGCGCAATAACATCAAAGAGGACTCTCCAGTATGATGCAAATCTGCCAAAACCAAGTTAGATCAGCTTCAAATTTCTATAATTAAAACCCTACGATTTCAAGAGTCCGAAGTTGCACGTACCCAGTTTGTAATCCAAGACAAGCTGTATCTCCTCGGTTTATAGACGGCAAGCCACATGATACAGGGGAGCTGCAGAAAAGATGGATTTAGCAGACCAGACCCATACAGCAGGAAGATGAAAAGAGAAAAAGGGCCCATACTGAGAGGGTACTCACGAAGTATGTAGTTGGGGCGAAAGCAAAGCCTCCAAAGAATCCAAGAAGTCCGCCGAAGAATGGGAATGTGAGACCAACAAACATTGTGAAAGCTGCAGTCAAGACATCCCTATCAAACTTCAATGCAACTTTCAATCCAAGGAGAAGGTCTAAAACAATCAAATGCCATCACTTACCCACGTAAATGTTCCTCGAAACAAAGCGCAACGTCCAACTGGGCTTGAATCTTAATTTCTTGACGAGCACAGTTTCAATCATGTCGAAAACCGGCATCGCATAAATCTGCAATCAAAACAGTCCACAGATATCACGGTTGTGCTGTCCTAGCCAAACAACCTCGTGAAAAATGAGCTGCTCAAAACTACATCAACAGAGAGGAGAGCCTCCTTACCTGATAGCTTCCGATTACGTGAACCACGACAAACATGTTAGCCATCGCAATTAGCCAGGTTGGTTTATTCAATGAGAGGAGAACGTTATCCTCGACACTGTTTCCGAACATCCAGTACCCTATAAAAGCAACCGGGAAATAGCACAATGCCACAACTATGTAGGCAACAACCACTCCTCTCCACATGGGCACCTTGGAAGGCTTCCCAGGTTTAGAAGGGATGGTGGCTTGAATCTCTAAAACAACATTGTGACCGGCGTAAGCAAAAGCTACATCTCCCAGGGCACCGAAGAAGTTGAAAAGTGTTCCTGCTGTAGTCGTAGCTTTGTAGCCATATTCCACATCTGGTTGGACACCCTTTTTCACGGAGGCACCCCAAGCAATGGTGGAGTAACTACATATTAACACAGTCACGTCAGCATTGCAACCGCTTAAGAATCAAAATAAAAACAGTAAAAACCAGAGATGACGCTGGGGGAATACCTCAATGACATGACGGCTGCGGCCAAAGACACACCGGAGATGGAATTGAAGTTTGGAAGATGGGAGAGCACAAAATGAACAGAGGCGAAGATCATAATGAAGTAGGTAGTCTTGATATCTTTGCAAGGCTTTGAGCAGACCAAGTCATGGAACTTCTTCAATGACTTCCCTCCAGTAACCATGTAAACAATGTCCACGCCCACTTCAACCACTAGCTGTTGGGGTACTACAATCCAGAGACCAAGTTTCTCACCAAAAGCATGCTGGCCTAGCTCGTGATATCTGTCGAAACGTTTCCCCGGAACCATTTCGTGCATTTCAACCATTTGCCATAAGGTGTACAGAGTGATAATCCAAGATAAGACCATTACAGTCACTCCAGGCCCCCTAAAAATTTTTTGATGATCGTACATAAAGCTTGTCAGTCCACCAGCAAGATTAGGATCAAGATTTCTACTAGTACGACTATTCTACATCCTAAGTAACAGGAGTTATATAAGATGAACACTACCCAAAAGTCCAGATTAAATACTCAGAAGAAAAGGAACCCTACCATCCAAGCTTGGACATGGCATAAGGCAAGCTCAACACTCCAGCTCCCACCATGGCAGTGACATTGTGAAAGGCCGAGTACCACCATTTTGCATTCCTTGAGGACGTAATAGGAAGCCATTCATCAATTGCCTTCTCTTCAGCCGTTCGATTGTCCACCTGTAGTTTTCCGCATAATTTTTCGTTCATAAATTTCAAATTGAATTTCATTCAGAATTGTCAAACAAAAAGGAAAAAGAAGAAAATTTGAGGAAAATGTGGGGAAAAAGACACCTGAAAAAAAAATCATGTTTTTTTCAAATCATATTGCAGCATTGTTTCAAAATAAGCGTGGAGCCATGTTACAGTAGATCATTTTTAACTAAAAAAAATTCTGGCTTCAGTGCAATCCAATAGAAACAAAGCCTATCCATAAATTTGATGGGCAAATTTAGCCATAAGTAGAATGTCTCTCTAATTCCATATTTACTAGCGCAGTTTTTTTTTTTTTTGGAGGGTGGGGTTGGTGTGGGCTGGTAACCGGAGGCCAAAAAGTGTCGCAACTTAACAATCGACGGTAGAACTTAATAGATGTGTAATTACCAAAAGAAGAACTAGACTGATATACACCTTTTGACGGTGACGTCAAAACAGAACCATAGTTAGGTTGACACGAAACAAAACAAAACACCACAGTTCGGTGGACAGAGACAAGAGGACGATGCATTGTGGGCTGGACGACAATAATGATTATAGTATCCACCACTCCCACTTTTACAAAAAAGTTTCCAAGACTTGGAAGTTTTACGCTTTGAGCCAGCCACACATGATTCCAAAAAAGTGAATGAATGCCAAGCACGCAACGACGAAGGCCTAAAGCCCACAACCGCAACCTTCCCAATCATCCCGACGTCCTGCTCAGTTACTACTTACTACGACGGGAACGGAACCGCATACCGTTGTTCCCAGTAAGGCTTCGACGGAGCTGAAAGCAACTCTTATTCATGAATTTGTTTAAACTACGCAAGACACTTGTTAACTGGGACTGATACATTATTTAATGTACTCCCTCTCCTCCTCCGTCCGTTCCACTTTGATCAATTTGATTTTTTTTTCACATAATTTAAAGAAATTAGTTAATTTTATTAAAAAAATAAATTTAGTTCAATACTTTCATAAGATATCCTTCTGTTAAATAGACTGTGACTAGTTAGAAAAAGTGCATTTTTAAAAAAATTATAAATTAACTATATTTTTTATTGAAAAATAAATTATAATTATAAAATAGATGAAAAGAAGAAATAAACTATCGAAAGTATACGCGTACACACCGCTAGTTAATTATGGAAAGTGAGGACTAGTTGTAAAGGGGAAATAAACGTAGAAATTCATGTGTATTACTTTATGAATTATGAATGCTGCGGTCCACTGTCATTGGTAGGAGTATCACGAAAATCCAAGGAAGAAAGTTACCGACATGGGAAGTTGGACCTTAGAAGCAATGAAATCCTTGGAAAAGGGCATTGCTTAGGCCTTGTTTGGTCTTTGAAAAATTACTACGTTTTCGTAAATACATTTTTCAATCAACTTTTTATTCCATGTATGTCAAATCACAACAATGTTTTTTATAAAAAGTTTTAAAAAAATGCAATCCAAACAATACCGCTAGCACCAGCATGTTGAAAATATATATAAATAAATAAAAGAAGAAGTAGATTCATAGAAACAACCATGGGTGCCGCCAATTGTGGAGATATTGACTTTTCATCATTTTTCAAGTATCAAAATATCGTGTAACCGAGACATGAAGAACCCGAAGCTGAAATATGAAAAAGTTGGTTTGGTTTTTTTCAACTTTCAACTTTCATAGTTTAAAAGAGCTACGTAATCCTACTCTGAAAAGTCAAACACACCACACCACAATGGGTCCAAGTTCCGCACTTGACTTGTAGCCAACCAAACGCCTATGCCATGTGGTGAGATCCTAAACTCTAAACTCACCCAGTCAACGACCGTAATTGTTATCGTCATTGTCACGAGAACCCCACTGTCCAGCGGCCAGTTTGGCACGCCACATTTTCTTATCCTTCTCCTTCTTCTTCTTCAATACATACATATATATATATATATGGGGTAATTACTAATTACAGTTGCTTTGGATATTATTACTGGACGCCAGCTGGTTAAATTTCACTACGATCATTCAAAATGGAGACCCTTCCTTACTATTCAATCATATGAATGCATGATGTAATTAAAGCTTGTCTTGCGATAGAATGAAGTCTTGAAGGAACTACATCGATCCATTTTTCAAAATATTTCTTTCACGCAGGTGCACTCCAAACTAATTAATGACCACGTAGATGAGATTATTACTGGCGGTACCTAACTTCTTCTAAGCTTAACAGTAATAATAATATCAAGAATCAATTTTCTCCAGGTCCCTTGATTACCTCCTCATCTTTACTTCGCCATAGGCGTCTGTCCGGGGACCATTTTTGCTGCTACTTGAGTTAATCATGCATGACGAGAACAAAAAAAGCTTTTAAAATTCTTACAGGGGTGTTACCATGCATCACTAATAACAGTAGTAGTAGTACTAGTATTTTCCATCAACCAAAAAAGGTTCGAGGAAATAAAAAGAATACCTACTTTTTTTAACGTACGTCAGGGACGGTCAAATCCCAAATATGCACGGGGGGATTTGGGGAGTTCCTGTGCGCGTTTGACAGAGAGAAAGAGAGGGAGAGGGCGTGACTTACTGTTTTGGAGTCGTCGTAGTGGAGATGATCAGTTGGAGCTTGAGTTCCCATGATGATGCGGAGGAATTAGAAAGCTTGGAGATGAGATGAGCAACCGACGAAGAACAGCCGGACACAATACGAAACTCCTCGCTTGTCTTTTAACCCCCCAAAAAAAGAAGAAATGATTACACCTGTGTTACAAAGGAGGAGGAGTCCAGAGAGGCAGCAGTCTGAGGTTCGGAAGGACAAAACGGCAGTAGATACGAACGAGGAAATCTATGGAAACCTCCGGCGTATATATTTATATATGAACAAAAAGTGGATGGATGTAGATATATACAATGAATATCCAGAGTGTCCTCCCTCCTCTACGGCACCTACCTACTGAGTATATCTTCTACGTAAACTGTGGAGAGGGAGAGAGTGAAGACGACGTTTTTGTTTGACTTTCCCAGGTCTTCATTGAAGGCAAGTGATTGTTTTTTGAGCTGTATAATACTATATACTAGTAGTAAGTATGTGTAGTTTCTTAAGAAAATTCCTGGAACCATACATACTCACAATTGGCCGGCAGCTCACGTTGCCGTCCCACGTTTTTTTGGGTAATTAGCGTGTGTTATCTACCTGTAAACCATAATTAACAAGCTTGGATCTTTTTATAGTACTGTGTTAATTGGAGATCCCTATCCTGCTGGGCAAATTTTGCAGTTTTACTAATTTTTTGAATCAATATCAATTTTAGCACAATGATAGTGAACAATATTTCGCCAGTTCATGAATCAAACACGCATTTAGTTGGTGGTATACTTACTAGTTTTAGAATCATTTGGAGCAAAGTTGCAACACATCATCTTGGATACGATATCTACCATATACACAAAATTGTAGTGTTACAGTGAAAGAAAACGATGGATCAACATCCATTTATTATATACTATAATTAGTTTTATAAAAAGGGGGAAAAAAGACCCGGTAAAAAAGTGACCCGGTAAATTGTGAGGAACATTTTAATTATTTATTTCATCCTGAGCCCAATAACTTATGTAAATATTCCTTCCATCCCACTTTGATAGTCTTGATTTTTTTTTCCCACGCTGTTTAAGAAAATTTAGTTAATTTTATTGGAAGAGTAAATCTAGCATACTATTTTCTGAAATACTCTTACATTAATATTAGTAATATAACTAATCATTATATCTTTACACTAATAACAACAACAAAATTGATGGAAATTAAGTTGCACTATTCAAGGTAATGAATCAAAGCAATTAATGAATAAGGTAGGTTATATAACTGATAACAACTTACATTAAATAAGGGTATTTTATATAAGTTAAAATTTAACAATATTGTTCAATTGGTAAGTGGATTATATTTGGGAAGAATAAAAAATAAAAATAAAAATATCAAAGTGAAACGGAGGAAGCATATTTTTTTTTAATTCTTTTGATTTGCCTATGTTTATGCCTGAGTATAATAAAATACGTAAAAATGACAATTTTTAGGTTTAAAGGAAAATTAACATCAAAGCAATCCAATCATTATATTTAACCTATGGAAAAATTAAATATCTACCGAAAATTTATCCGGTACTCGTGGAAAATCAAACATCCACCGAAAATTTAGACCTTCGGGTCTAATGTGTGTCTATCAGTGGAAGCCATGAATGGACGCCCTTTACTGGTGGGAGACAATGAAGGGGGGAAATGAATTGAGAAAATCTTTTTTAATCGTGTAATTATAGTGAAAGATATATTTATTTGGATTGCACATTATTTACACCTTATTTACAAATATTGACCTGTTTGCATCATCAACATATTTTTTTAATTACCTGTTTATTTCACATACATTATATATAAAAAAAAGTATTACAGTATTTCTTAAAAGATTATCCCAAATAATCTCCTAGTCAAACACACCGACTTCAACGTATTTTGTTGCAAATTATAGGAAAAATGCATTTGAGGCGATGAATGAGTAACTTCCTGGGAGATTATCTGCAAATTAACTAACAAGTACTGACTTATGCACGTCATAAACTAATTAAAGCACGAAAAAAACAGTTGTAGCTAGGCGATTCAACAAAATTTAATGGTTCTTGTTATTGGCCTAAGTGTTCCAGTTATGATTTACAGTCCCTCTTACATTGGTACAAAAGATTGAGGTGCTATCCTCAACGTTCGCAGAATCTTGATTTGGGTGAAAAATGTGTGTATAGATTGAAATGAAAAAAGAACAGCCTAATCTGGATCTCTTTGGTTTTGTGTAGGTAGTTTGTATATGAGATTAGAATCACCTTTTTCATTTGTATTATGTTCCATTATTTCCATAGAATGGGTGAACAAATAAGGATTAATTATTAATGGGAGATATTAAAATATTTGAGTCGATCCGAACTACATTATAAAAAATTTAACAAAAATCCAACGCCATACTATGTAATTATATATTTAACAACCAATCTATTTTCTTTGAATCTCAGTTTTGGGTATTTCATGTTGGGTTCTAATGAAAATTTGCAGATCTATGTAACACAGTGAGAGGGTGGTGCTTTATAATTCTTTTATTTTTTTAATTGATTTTCTATTTCTAGTAAGATAACAATATTATTTAAAAAATGAATTAATCTTCCATACACTAACAGTATGTACATTTTCACCATTGAATGCATGATATATAATTCGAATTTGAATATGAAACTCAAATTTTGTATATGTATCATGCATCTAATCGTGATAGTATATATAATATCAGTGCATATAATATTTACTCTAAAAATATATATATATATATATATATATATAATGAGGAAAAGTTTATCGAACATGTTTTTGTTGTTCTATTTCACGAATAAAAGTCTTTCGATTTTTGTGTGAAAAACATTTGTGAATACGAAAATTACAATAAAGAGAGAAAATGTTTGTGAAAACATATATATATATATATATGTATGTATACGGACACACGCATATATATATAGAGAGAGAGAGAGAGAGCAACTAGACGTCACTGGATGTTATCTTGCTACCTAGTCAATTATGTGACATCCAAATTAAATATTTTAAATTTGGATGAAATCGATATGCTTGATCACATAAGCGTCATTATTTCCCTTGACAAAGTCGCCAAGCATTCGTAATTACTCCAAAAAAAAAAAAAAAAAAAAACTGTGAGTGGTTTAAGCACAAAGTTTGTTACGACAGGCACACCATGCCTTTCTCCGTAATTGGGGCAGCGCACACTGTACTGTACAAAGGGGGGGGGGGGTGCGGATCTTTTGCTTGATTGAGAATTCATTGAGACCTTTTGGTTTTGTAGATGAAAACTAAAGACGCATGTGTATAATTCTGAGGTCGGCAGGAAACGGAAGGAATACTACTACTACTGGCACATTTCTATTGCTTATTTATTCTGGTTCGATAAGCGAAGAGAATTATTTTTCCCTTTCCTCAATACACTACTGACTTTTGAATTTGTGGCCGATTTTGAAAAGGCCGACTTGAAAAACTCGTTGTATAGTTAATTGAGGCACGTCGGGATTGCATTTTCTGTTGAGATAATTATAAAATACCAATCTCTCTCAAATGTGTCTGTGCTTGTTATTGCAAAGTGAAGTGGGGACATGGATCAAGTTGGTTGGCGGCATTTGAATTTGATTGGACGAATATTTTAACTTTTTGAAACATCAAATTACTAATTTCAGACAGTGCCGCCACTAGCTCCCGCGTGAATGGTCCAGCGGCAGCGTCTCTCACCAGTGAATCTTGAGATCACAAGTTTGAGTCTCCGCTCCGCTGGATTCCTCCGCGCACTTAACGTGTTCGGGCCGGGTTGAGGCGTCGGGCCCGAGTAGCAAGGAGATTAGTGGGGTCCCGTAAAAATTGATCTGGACACCCCTGTGTCGACAAAAAAAAAAAAAAAAAAAGACAGTGCCGCCACTAAGCATCCTCCTAGCCCGCCGCCCGGGGCCGAATTTGTGGATCCATCTTGGACATGTGGAACTTGAAAGATTGATTTCTCATTTCTGCCTTTGAAATTATGTGTATCATAAGCGAAGGAAAGGTCAACTTTATATAGGAAAGGTCAACTTTCACGGATAAAAAATAACTTTGCTGGTCACTAGTTACATTTTATAATTAATGTATCTAAAATAAAAAAAAAATATATATATTAATGATATGAACAGATAAATTTACTTAAATAGCTCGCTATCCCTAGCGGTCCAGCAGTCATTGGCAGCCTGTCGCTTCCCAGAACTGCAGAAAGCCAAAAGTCCAAAGTTGTCGATGCGTCATGGACCATGACGCATTGACAACAAAAAATGCGGTGATCCGTATCCATGAATTGATCATCAACCGCGGCTCTATTTAGCATTTTCGCGTTGGAGACTGACCCAGCGCCCCCTATTGCACATGAAAGCCATGTTACTCTTGGCCCCCCGCCCCAACCCAAGGTTTACATAGAATCAACGTATTCACTCGCTCGCTCGCAGTGAAATGAAATAGGTTCCTACTGCCCCAAACTCCCTGGCTTAGCCTCTACGAGGTTTGTCATTTTCAAAAGTTACAAAGTAGTTAACATCATAACAAAATGAAAAATCTGAAAAAAAAATGGTGATTTGGGGGAAAATAATTCTAAATGGGTTAATTGGATTTGATGGGTTACCCAATAATACCCATTTAATAAATGGATATTATTGGGTAACCCATTTATACCCATATATAAAAATTTAAGATATTCATACCCATTTATTCATGAATGAATATGAATAAATTTAATTAAATGGATTGATTTGCCACCTATAGTCATGGTGGGTGGCTTGCTTGCAAGTGTAGTTTCAGCAGAGCAAGTGGGCTGTGGGCTGTGGGGGAATTGAAATATTGAATGGGCATTCCCCGCCTGGAGAGGAGAGCGGAGACGGAATCCAAACCCAAAAAATTGTGCGGAAGATTCAGAATAAATTAAAGTACACCAGCGACGACTTTGACCAACGAAGAGGTCCTCTCAGTCAACGCCCACACTTTCACACTACAACGCCATTCTCCTTAGTTGTAGCAGTAGTACTACTGCCATATGGGCCCACTGGATGTGCATTTCTTCGTCGTCTTCTGCATCCTTTTTCCTTTTCTTTTTTTTTTTTTTGATAATAGCATTTTCCTTTTCTTGAATGACGGAAGGAAATTATTTGGTGGACCATCCTAATTAATTACATTTGGTAACTGAAATTCGCCGAAACTGACTAGCATAAATGAGGTTTCAGCGCTTGGTGTAGCTGCTGATTGCTGACTGCTCCTTTAGATGAGGGAGGGACATCCTGTAATGTAACTATTAATCTGGTGCTCGTG